GGCAGGAATAGCCAACACTCCAGAAGACAGGCTTAAGATACAGGAGGATCTGGACAGACTTGAACACTGGGCGCTATCTAACAAAATGAAATTCAATGGTGAAAAAAGTAAGGTTCTACATTTAGGCAAGAAAAACCAAATGTACAGGTATAGTATAGGGGGTACCTTGCTCAATAGTAGTAACTGTGAGAGGGATCTCAGAGTCTTAGTGGACAATCACTTAAATATGAGCCAGCAGTGTGCTGCAGCTGCCAAAAAAGCCAACACAGTGCTAGGCTGCATTAACAGAGGGATAGAATCAAGATCATGTGAAGTGTTAATACCACTTTACAATGCCTTGGCAAGGCCACACTTGGAATACTGCATCCAGTTTTGGTCACCACGATGTAAAAAAGATGTTGAGACTCTAGAAAGAGTACAGAGAAGAGCAATAAAGATTAGGGGACTGGAGGCTAAAACGTATAAAGAACAGTTGCTGGAATTGGGTATGTCTAGTTTAATGAAGAGAAGGACGAGGGGGGACATGATAGCAGTGTTCCAATATCTCAGGGGCTGCCACAAAGAAGAGGGAGTCAAGCTATTCTTCAAAGTGCCTGAAGGCAGGACAAGAAGCAAAGGATGGAAACTAATCAAGGAGAGAAGCAACCTAGAACTAAGGAGAAACTTCCTGACAGTTAGAACAATTAACCAATGGAACAACCTGCCTCCAGAAGCAGTGAATGCTCCAACACTGGAAGTTTTTAAGAACAGACTGGACAGCCATTTGTCTGAAATGGTATAGGATTTCCTGCCTGAGCAGGAGGTTGGACTAGATGACCTCCAAGGTCCCTTCCAACATTATTATTATTATTGTTGTTGTTGTTGTTACTATTACTATTATTACTATTATTATTACTATTAATACTATTATTATTACTATTATTATTAAGAGCTGGCTTGCAGATCCAAAAAAGTATACTTACAATGACTATGTTGGCTGATTGTCCTGGGAATTGTTGTTTCTCAGCATCTGGAAAGCCGCAAATTCCCTATTCCTTATGTATGGCTTTAATTTGCTGCATTATTATCCATGAGGAACTGTCACTCATGACACTCAGGACAAAGTGTTAGAACAGATGTGTTGGGATTATAACTGCCTCTTGAGCTTCTTTTGACTAGGAATTCTGGGAATTGTAGTCCCAATGCATCTGGAGGATAGATGATTGGGGAAGCCTTAGTTACTGTATATTCAGTCACTTTGCTCAATTATATGGGTGAATCACTCATGATTGTGTTTAATACTCTCTCTATACATTATTAAAATTACTGATTATAGTAAATGCTGCTTGGGCAACTCCTGGTCTTTCCTTAAGATGTAGAAATTCTTTCATCTTTCTCTTATTGTTAACGCATCCTCATCAGATTTCATCAGCATGAAATTCTAAATACAGTATCTAATAAGGACTTTCTTAGGAATAAATTTGTGTGATAAAACACAAATGTGTACTACAGTTAACAATTTTCTGTCTTCTGCTCTAACTGCTGTTCCTGGTCCTGAACCAATGTTTAGCACAACTCCCAGGACCTTGTTAGCTAAATTCTTGCTGCTGAGAAATCTGCTACTGGGGAAACTGTACAAAGCAGAAGTTGTTGAAGTTTGTCA